TGGGCTTGGGAATATCTAGGATAAGTGTTGTTTGCTTTTTTTCTATTTGAGTCAGGGCCTTCTAGTTAGGTTTTGGGTGACCAGTGCTATTTGCTGGTTCAGCTGTTCCAAGTTGATCTTCTCCAAATCCAGTTAGAAACGACGCTGAAACTTCGACAAAAGATTCTTCAGTCAACATCTCTAGGTGACGACTTTGCTTCAATTGGAGCTTCATTTCTCAACTCATAAAAATCAGGTTCATTTTTATTTATTTATTTATCTAACTTTACTACATTTTAGTATAATTGTCAAAATATCAACATTATACATATTTAAAATTGAATTTAGTTTTAGTTCTTTACCAAATGGCTAGTAAACTCGTTCTATCAGAACTAGAAAAAATTAACAAATTTAATGACAGTAATTATGATATGTGGCATAGAAAAATAAGATATGCTCTTATTCACGATAACATTGATGATGTAATCGAAACCACTGTTCCAACCATTACTGATAAATCAACACCTGAAGAAAAAAAAAAGGTTTGAACAATGAAAGACGAAAGATAAAAAGAAAAAAAACCTTATGCTCATGTTCATGGAAGATAACTTAATCAAAATTTTTAAAACTTATAAAACTTTCATGGACATGTTGAATGCAATAAAAGAAAAATATGATAATGCTTCTGAAGTTAACATTCAACTACTCTTGCATAAGTATAATTCTTGTCGTATGTAAGAGGGAGACAATATCATAGAGCATATAAATAAAATGATTGTCATGGCTAAGGACTTATCCACTGCTGGGACCGAAATCCCAGAAAGAATGCAAGTAGCAACCATTTTGAACAGTTTACCCCCTTCTCTTGTTATGACTGCCACCACATTGAGAATGAACCCTACCATTAAGTCTATCACTGATTTTCCTATGCACCTAGCGATAGAACATGACTTAATAGTCAGTAGGAAAGAACCAGAACTGAATATGGTGCGGTAAGAGCTGAATTATATCCGCCAAAGGCATAATACTAGAGGCTATAAAAACCCTAGTCCTAGTAAACCACAACCGCGAGGACTAAAATCGCAGCAATTCAAGAGAAAAAAATACCCCGCGAAGCCTGCTACGATTGTGGAAAGTTCGGATATTTTAAGCCCAATTGTCCACAAGGTAAAAAGCAGGAGAATAAGAGAGGCTATAAGCATTCAGAACAAGAGAGTACTAGCAAAAGAGAATTCGTCTGTGTGACGGAATGTAATGCTATGATGACGGATATCAATGGTTGGTAGATCGACTCCGGTGCGACTAGACATATCGCAAAGGACAAGAATGGAGTCTAGAATTCACTGAGCTGAAGAAAGGAGAACAGAGAATCTATATGGGAAATAATACGTATCTCGATGTAGAAGGTATTGGTTCATATAATTGGATCTTGGGGACAACATTCTTGTCCTCAAAGATGTGTTCTATGTGACAGGAGTCTGACGCAATCTGATCTTTGTTCCCAGTTTGATGAAGAAAGGACTGGAAGTTAGGTTTTATAATAACATGGCTTCTATAGACAAGAATAATAAAGTGTATGCTATGGGAAAATATGTGCCCGAGCATAATTTATGCATTTTTTTAGTAGTTTGTAATAATTTTGATAATGAAATTTTGAATTTAAACTACTTGTCCTGTTATATTTCTGAGTCTGGATTGTATCATTCTAGACTAGGACATGCTAGTATTTCAAAAATAAAAAAATTTATCAGAATGAACTTGCTTCATGCACTATCTAATGTTTAATTACCACCATGTGAACATTGTTTAACTGGTAAAATAACTAGAAAACTTTTTGTTGGCGGACAAAGAGCCAATAAACTTTTAGGATTGATACACTCGGATATTTATGATCCCCTAAGTGTCAAAACTCATAGCAATAAAGAATATTTTATTACTTTTATAGATGATTATTCCAAGTTTACACACGTCTATCTTATATCTAGAAAATTAGAAGCTTTTGACTGCTTTAAGAGATATAAAACAAGTTGAAAACCAACTTGGATTGAAAATAAAAATTTTGATAACTGATAGAGGTGAAGAATATAATTCTAAAGAATTTGAGTTATTGTATTCAGCATGGAATTAAAAAGCATACAACAATGTCGTATACGCCACAACAGAATGGTATTGCTGAAAGAAAGAACAGAATATTGTTGAATGTAGTTAGATACATGTTGTCTTATTCTGGTCTCTCTAAAAATTTTTGGGGAGAAGCATTGTTAAGTGTTAACTGTAAAGTACATTTTAAATAGAATTTCTATCAAGTCAGTGGTATCTACACCTTATGAATTATGGAATGGGGGGAAACCTAATTTGAGTCATCTCAGAAAGTGGAGATCTATAGCCCATGTTCTCATTCCATGTCAACTTAGAGATAAGTTAAATTTTAAAATAATAAAGTGTAGATTCATAAGGTATTCAGAAAAGTCAAAAGGTTATAAGTTCTATAATAAAGAAAATAGAGTCATTAAAAACAGAGATGCTACATTTCTAGAGAATCTAGAGAAAGAGAAACAAGTTCGAGAGGAAACAGAACCTCTAACTGTAATAGATGATGATTATTACAATGTTGTTTCCACTAATGATCTTGATATTGTGAATGAACTTAACCTTAAAAATAATGAAATACTTATGAAAAATAATGTTCTTCATCAACCGGTTGTAAGCAACAAAAGGCCAAGAACACAACCATCATGGATGGATGATTACTATTTGTATTCATGTGAGTCATCCTGTTTTTCGGTAGATATAACTATAGAAGAACAAGATCCCTTAACCTTTTCTGATGCGATGAAATTGTATGAATTAGCTTTATGATTAGAATCTATGAGAAGAACTTGTATCTATAGAAAAAAATAAGGTACGGGAGTTATGTGATCTACCAGAAAATAGAAAAACCATAGGATGCAAATAAGTGCTAAAAAAGTATCGTGTTGATGGATCTATTGATAAATTCAAAGCACGATTAGTTGCAAAGAGTTATAATCAGAAGGCAGGAATAGATTTTCAGGTGACGTATTCTTCTGTAGCTAAATTTGCATCTATTAAAATTATTTTGGCTATTGTTGCATATCTTGATTTAGAGTTATTCCAAATGGATGTTAAAATTGTATTCCTTAACGGAAAGTTGAAGGAAGCAATATATATGCAACAACCTAAAAATTTTCAGGTGAAAGAACAGGAACATAAAGTTTACAAATTAATAAAATCTCTATATGGTTTAAAACAATCTTCTAGACAATGGTATCTCAAATTTCATGATGCAGTTACTAAACTTGGTTTTATTCAAATTAGATAATGTGTATGTCTTGAAAAGTGGGAGCAAATTTATTATATTATCATTATATGTGGATGATATATTGCTCGCTGTAAATGACATAGAAATGTTAAAATCAAGGCAGATCTCAGCGAAAAATTTGAGATGAAAGACATGGGATATGCATCATATATTCTTGGAATTCAAATAATTCAAGATAGAAAGTCTAGAATGTTGAGTTTAAACCAAGAAAAATATTTAAGATCAGTTCTTAAAAGGATTGGAATGGATAATTCCAATCCGGCGCCAATTACATTGGTTATGGGAAAGAAATTATGTAAAGAGCAAAGCCTTAAAAAGGGGCAGAAGTCATTAGATGTTCCTTATGCTCAAGCAATTAGAAGCTTGATGTATGTAATGTTGTGCACCATACCTGATATAACTTATGTTGTGAGTCTAGTTAGTCGATATCAAACTAATCCAGGACCAGCACATTAGGAAGTTATTAAAAGGATTATGAAGTATATCAAAGGTACATTGACTCATAGATTAGTTTATCAAGCTGATTCGCTTTTAAAAGGATTATGAAGTATATCAAAGGTACATTGACTCATAGATTAGTTTATCAAGCTGATTCGCTTGAACTCCTCGGTTATTCCTTAGTTTATCAAGCTGATTCGCTTGAACTCCTCGGTTATTCCGATGCTGATTTCGGAGGTGATAAAGATTGAAAGTTCACTTCGCGACACGTATTCATCTTTGAAGGAGGAGTTGTTTTTTGGAATAGCAAGAAACAAGGGTGTGGCTAGATATACGCAAGAAGCTGAATATATAGCTTGCAGTATGACAACTACATATGCTGTCTGGATAAGACGGTTTTTGATTGATCTTATCTCAATTTGTTAGAAAGACCTATTGATATTTATTGTGATGATCAAGCAGCAATTAGCTTAATCAATAGTGGCGCGAATAGCTCAAAAAAAACATATTTAGATCCAGTATCACTATATTCGAGATATTATAAAAAAGGAGAAGTTAAAGTGACTTATATCCCAACTACAGATATGATTGCTGATCTTTTAACAAAAAGAATATCAGCAGAATCTTTTATCAAACATGTAAGTTTGATGAGACTTAGGAACAAATAAGTCCGAGTAAAATTTCATGAATAATGAAATAAGAATTACTCTCTATGAATAGTAGGAGTAATTATAAGAAAAACATCTAATCTCACGGATGGTGGGAGGCATATCACTTGGTTGATTTGGTCAAGTGGGAGATTTTAGCTTGACTCGGTCATGGATGACCAAATCAACCACGGTTTCTCAGTAGAAAGAATCATGGAAAACGTGAATTGGGGTTTGTTGAGAGATTTTCTCTCAGAGGCGGTTTGAGGGGCACGGAGATGATGGACTATAAATAAAGGAGTAATCTCCTTGAAAAAACACAACGAAAACAAAAGAAGAATCAAGCCCCTTACCCATTACCGGAGCCCCCTCAAAGATATCTCATTCTCTTCTTCTCTGTGAGAACGAACACTTTAGACCGTAACCTCCAATTTCTTATCAGTATCAAGATCTTGACCTCTAAACACAAGCTTTGGGAACTGAATTAAGCTAGATTAAATAATATAATACTGAATTGAACGAAATTCGCTAAACATCAATATCAAAGGCGTACAAACATGAAAATCTCACTGCAGAACAGAGTGCACGATGCTTACTTCTCAGCATAATGAAGCAGATACAGGTAAACGAGCTTCTTCACTTCCAACGACTGAGACGCCACATTCTTCACAACCTGCAATCAAACAAAAATCAACAAAATCCGCAGCAATTCAAGTCTTAAGCTTCTGCATCAAGATTCGCACCTGAGGGAAGAAGTTGGACACGTCAGCGCCCTGGGCGATCAAAGCAAGGAGGCGCTTCAGGGCCTCGACCTTCTCTGTGTCGAACCTGCTGTCGAGGAGCGGGGCGATGTTGACGTCATCGGGATCGTCGTAGAGGTGGGCATCGGTGCCGATCCTGAGGACGAGGGATGAAGCTTTGCTGAAGCTCTCTGCTGTTGATCCGAATTGGGAGAACATTTGGTGGAATTAGGGTTAGGGTTCTGGGGATTTTGGGATTGGATCTCGATTGAGGTTTCAGTCGAAGAGAAAGAAAGAGGGAGGAAGAAGAAAGAATCAAGTGACGGCGGATGATGGGCTGTCGCTCAAATTAGGCCCGTACCACCCTGATTATCTGCATTTCTAAATGGATAAATTTTCAAAAGAACAAATTTTCAAAACAGCCCCTTTTAAAAAAAAAATTCAAAATCGACCCTGTTTTTTTTTATTTACCAAAACCGACCCGTTTTTTTATTAGCAACCTAATCACATTCCTAAATAGTCGGGGTTGTCAACCCCGACTATTTAAGAGGGTGTTAAACCCTAATTAGAAGCCTTAAACCATACAAATTTAAGTCCTAAATAGTCGGGGTTGGCAACCCCGACTATTTAGGAATGTGATTAGGCTGCTAATCAAAAAAACGGATCGGTTTTAATAAATAAAAAAAACAGGGTCGATTTTGAAAAATAAAAATTTAAAAAGGACTGTTTTGAAAAATTGTTCTTTTCAAAATCGTCTTATTTAGACATTTAATCCCAAAATCCAACCCATTTCACATTTATTTTCAAAAACCGACATGGTTTCAGCCTCAGCGCTGAAGTCCCGTGAAGTTTAGCAGCTATTTTGATAAGGTGCTAAACTTCACGGGACTTGAAGTCCCGTGAAGTTTGAAAGTTCAAAAAATCTTCACAGGATTTCAAGTCTCGTGAAGTTATTTTAGCTCATTCTCCAGAGAATCGCGGCTCTGGAAAATGAGAACTGCAACTTCACGGGACTTGAAGTCCCGTGAAGCTGCAGGTTTTAAAAAACATGCACAGCCTATGCTTGTTTTTTATATACGGAACGTAATTACGAAAGCTACACATACAATCCAAAATATATATGAAATTTTTGCCATGAATCAATAGATTTACATGAATCAAACAATATATACTGAATCAAACAACAATCACGAAAATACACATGTGAACAATAATCGATCTCATAGACACTGAATTATAATAATATTCTTAAAATTCAGCAATGAATTAAACACGAATCAAAGAATACTCACGGAGATCATATAAACAATAATTGATCCACAAAAGTACAGTATTTGAAAAATCATAAAAGTTATAAATTTCAACAAAATAATATCACATACAACCCAAAATTCCTCTTCTCCTTCCCCTCCCTCTCTCCCGCCTTCCCCTCGCTCTTCCCCGCCTCCAGCGTTCCAACTGATAAGCCTCGATTATCTGAGTATTTGGTTGTGTATGAGGCTGAGAAGTACCGGCTCCATCAGCATGCGAAGTGTCGGCTCCATCGTCATCGTCAGGTTGTGTATGAGGCTGAGAAGTACCGGCTCCATCAGCATGCGAAGTGTCGGCTCCATCGTCATCGTCACGTGGCCTACGTCGTTACGTGTACATTTGCCCAAATGATCGTGACCTATCCTCACGGCCTGCAAACTCGTCGACATGAGTCTTATGAAACACTTATGCTATTATCTGCTTGATCTTGTTGAAGACCCCTAACGCCACTGGATCCTGAATCTCAGGCATGTGCTCATCAATCCCAGCTTCAATGTTATCAAAAGCACGGACCTGTGAGTTAAACAATATATAAACAATTTAGCAAATAACATCTTAATTAAAAATTACATTTTTAATTTAGCTTAGAAACTTACATAATCTCTCTTGATCATCCCACTAGGAATGTAACTATCTGTCAGTGGGCGTGGCAGGTGTCCAGCTGATGGCTGTGGATCACGCATGATCCATCTATATGTGACATCCCAATACCAACGCATATACACGGTATAGTCAGCAGCTATGTCTCTCGTATCTTGTATGCAATCCCACCTATGAATCCACCTGTCTATGTAGGCCGCCCGGAGTACGGACCGGTCCGTATAATGCGATGTAGGTCGTCGCTTACAATCGATCTGCTCCACAGGATCCGACACATGCTGAGAGAGCAAAAATTGCCGTAGCACACGGTCGGGGACATGCATCTCCATAATCTCCCAACAAATCAATGGAACTCTGGCTCTTCACAAGTCGAGACTATCTCAACATATAGGTGCAAGAGTATGCATATCGAGCTCCGATGGTGAATATGGTCTCCACTTGAACTGAAATAAGATAAAACATTTATCAGTATCAACAAAAAAACTATAATATTCATAACGACTTGAGGTTTATATTTACATGTTCGTGTTGGAGGCCATCAAGCTCATTGCGATAAAATTCACAATGTTGCGTCGATGATTTATACTTAGCGTACCGCACGTTATACCTATTTGGCATAAAGAATATATGAGTATAAATTCAATATGAATAAAATTATGTGGATAATTATACATGTATACCAAAGAAAACTGGCCCTCTAGGTCACGGTGCACAAGCAAAGTAGGTCGTCCAATATGAATGCACTTTCATGACCAAATATGTATCAATGTGCAACATCCTTTGAATTCTTTATTTTGCATCAAGGATACCCTATCCAATTCTCTATATAAGTATGCCAACACCGTAGTGACCCATGATAGTGCGCCGCATACATCAAAATTCTCTAGCAGTGGCAGCCATCGTGCATGTACAACGGTCTTGCTCGCATCAAGAAATAGTGTGCACCCTATCATGTGCAATGTGTATGCACGAGCATGATACTGAAGCGACTTGATAGATGTATCTGTCGGTATATCTCCCTGAAATGTCTAACAAAGCCACGATAGCTTCATCGCACCACTTCTCAAGTCAGGTATCTGACCAAGAAGCCTAGCACATACCTTAGCCCAATTATGGTCATCGGTGCATGTTCATCATAATCATGCAAAAGGACCTGATGCTTGAACCGAGCCCTCGCTTCCTCTGAATCCATCATCAAAACCTTGCTCCCCTTCTTCATCATCTTCAACAAATTCCAATCCGAATTCCAAATAAAGGAGGTAAGAGAGAGAAAAAGTCTATAATAATAATAATAAGGTGGAAGGGGGGGAAAGATCCAGAAAGTAATAAAAGATCAAAGATTTGAATTTGGGATGAGGAGGGAAGATATTAAATGAGAAATTTAAACTTGAGAAGCCAAAATGAATGCAAGTCATAGGAAATTGAAGCAGAAGATGGAAGGTTGTTGAAGATACAAAATATTATTATTTTTAAAATAATGAATAATATTGCTAACCGAAATTATGAATTCTTTAGAGATTGACACGTGGCAGAAGAGGCTTTCCATGTGTCTTTTTCAAGAGGAAGAGATGTCATGTGGCGTTTTCAAGGGGAAGAGATTTTAGATATAGAATATAGATTTAAACTTGAGAAGCCAAAATGAATGCATGTCATAGGAAATTGAAGCAGAAGATGGAAGGTTGCTGAAGATACAAAATATTATTATTGTTAAAATAATGAATAATGTTGGGAACCGATCGAAATTATGATATGTTATTTTCAAAATAATGAATAATGTTGGGAACCGAAATTATGAATTCTTTAGAGATTGACACGTGGCGAAAGAGGCTTGCCATGTGACTTTTTCAAGAAGAAGAGATGTCATGTGGTGTTTTCAAGGGGAAGAAATTTTAGATATAGAATATAGATTGGACAAACTTACCAATTAATTGCATATTAAGTTAAAAATGTCTTTATTTATTCATCAGATCATCAGATCAGAATATAATAACGTGCAAGGCCTCCACTATTTAATCAACCCACCCAAAAACTACTGGATATGCACAATTGAACGCACAAAGTTGTAAGTAATTAAATACATCTTTATGCACGAATCATTTCTTCTTAATAATAATAAAAATTAAAAATTGTAAACTATGAGACTTAAGAATTATAAATATTGAGAGGGACAACATGAGAAATCAAAAGATTTGACACCTATTTCCTCTTTTATAAATGCTAGGCTAGGTTTTATGCCGTGATTAAATATCATGGTTACGTTTTTTTGTTTATTTCCTTACTAAAATTTATTCCACGGTTCCACTTACAATGATTTTTGCTCACTTATATCTCTAGATTTTAATATTATGATTATTTTTTCTTTTATGTTCATTTTAATGAGGTACAACCAATTTTAATGAGGTACAACCAATTTAAATTTTCATGTTGATAATTGAATTGACATAAAATAAAGGTAATCCAAAGCCAGTTTGACTTATCATGTCATTTGGATCAACATAAAACCGAGTTTAACTTGGCAAAATATAGTGTTTCAAAAGTAAAAAATATTTAAAAATAGTGTTATAAAAAGAAGATGAATAAATAAAGTTAATAAGATAAAATAATTGGTTAAAAGTGGGGGTAAAACAACGCAAAAGAAAATATAGCGTTTGTTCCTAATGCTTGATAGAATTTTAAAAAAAATTATAAGCTAAAGATTAATTCTGTTGAAATCCAAAAGTCATTTTGTGGAAACCTAAAAGACAAAATGAATGTGGACATTACTTTATTAATGTGGAATATTTATTGGTGACTTTTCATTAGTCCAATGTCTTTTTGTTTTCCACAATGTATCTATAAATTGGTGGATGTATGAAAAAAAGGAGATGGAAATAAAAATTACAATTTATCTTATTCTCTTGTCTCTTGTCCATTTTTCGTTTCATTTCTTTAGTATATTACAACATGTTATCAGCACGAGTGGCTCTAGCTGGTTCGTGATCATCGGTTCGTGGTAATAGATTTTTCAATATATATCTTCTGCAAGGTAATAATACATTTGACCTTTGTCTATTTACAAAGTTTCATGTTTTCGTTATCGATTATGCCTCTATAACAGTATGTTATGCAATTTACTTTGGAACCATGTGATGATGATATATTGACTATATTTATTTGATGTTGAAATCTGTAGTATGATGTATTTTGAAAACTTTAGTATCTTTAATCAATATGATAGTATACCAAATTCACTTAAATTTCATATTACAACAAGGTGAAATGGAAGACTGTTATATGGATAATATACTACAATGATTGTAAAAATGTATGGAACAGAGATACACAATATTAATTTTTTGGTAATTCGGTTATTTAATTGTTTACAAATATAGTATAACTTGAGAGACATGATGTCTAAACCTTCAAGAGTGGAGCAATGATTTCCATTGCTATAAAAG